CAGAGGGAGAGTGGTTCTGGGGCTTGAGAGTTGTTCCTTCAACCCTTCTGGTGATTTCGTAAGTGTCTAATGTCTGGTAGCAAAGTACTTTCTATTTAAGCTGGGTAGAGTGCTTTCTGTCGCCTGCAATTGACTGATAGAGCTATTATTTACTTAGTCAACAATACTCATTTATCTTGAGGGCACCGGGAGCTACAGCAAGTTGTGAGCAGAGGTCAGCAGGTGGGGAGTAGGTGGGAGGGGGAAAGACAGAGACAAGAGTTCAGGGAGGAGGTTGGGGCAGGAGAGATGACTGGAGGGGTCTTGAGCTGAAGTGGGCGGCAGGGAGGGAAAGGAGAGATGGACAGACCTCGGAGACTGACCATTCTGAAAGGGCGGGATGAAGATGAAACCATAAAGCTGGTGGAGCTCTTGGCACGAGGTCTTGCTGGAGCGTTTGACTGGCTCACCCAGTCACATGACTGGACCATTGTTACAAGGGATTCTGGGAAACAGAGTTTCTAGTGGTTTTGGCTTCTGCAAAGGTGGCAGGCTTAGGGTGGGGAATTCCCCAAACACTGAAAGTGTGGCCCATAAAAATGTCAAATGCCCCACAAGGTGTTATCAGGGGCACAAGGGGCTTGGCTGTGCCACCACCAGGTGTGTGACATGGCTGGATCCTACCTCTCCCCTGCTTGCAACCCTCCGTGGCTCCCATCTAACTCACAGTGGGACTGGAATTCCTCCCACAGCCCCTAAGTCCCTAGGGTCTGCTCCTGTCCCCTCTCCAACCTCACCTTCTTCCTCCTACTCTCTCCACAGCCCCGTCTGCTCCAGCCGCCTGGCCTCCCACTTGCCCTCAGACGTGCCCGCCACTCCCGCCTCAGCGCCTTTGCACCTGCTGTCCCTCCAGATCCCCCCACGGCCGGCCCCTCCTCTCTTTCAGGTCTCTACTCAGATGTCGCCTCCCCAGAGAGGCCTGCCTTAACCGCCCCTGCTGGGCCACCACTCTCATCTGTTACCCTCTTTCATTTTCTTTATTGAAACATCACTCCGTGAAGGCAGGGGCTGTGGTCGTTTCTGCTGTATCCCCCGTTAAGTGCTCAATAGGTCATTGTTTCTAGACCAGTTCCTTTTAGCTCTCTGGGTCTCAGTTTCCCTAACCATGAAGACCTTTGCCCATCTGACCTTGCTGGGAAGGGGCAGATGGGTGCAGAGATCAGGGGCTGGGCCCAAGGAAAAGTTTTTAAAGTATCCTCCTTCCCCAAGATGGAGTCTGGGGAGAGGCAGAGAGGCTCCCCCTTTCCCTAAGCCAGTCCTCACCTGCCTAGGAAGAAATGGGGGAGACCCGGCGAGGAAGGAGGAACCCAGAGGGAAGGACGTTTTCTTCGTTGCAATCCTGGGAGCTCCCTGGAGGAGGCGGCCCGCCCGGGCTGCAATTTTGGCGCTTTCAGGCCGAGCAAGCAGCTTCCTCTGTGCAACCCCCGCCTCCGCAGAATCCCCTCCTCGGCCCCCGAGGTCCCCGGTCACAGGCGAGGCGCGGCGAGGTCGGGCGCCCGTGCTCTGACCCGCGTCGCCGCCCAGGCCCTGCCCCTGGGAGCGGGTGTGGCTACCCGGGGCCCGCGGCTGCCCTTGTAAGGAGGCGAGGTCCAAGGACACCCGAGACGCCCGGTTATAATTAACCCGGACACGTGGCGACCCCACCCCGCAGCACCTCCCTTCCGCGCACCCCCATCCCCAGCGCCTCGGCGGCGGCGGCGGGTCTTGTCCTTCGCAGAGGAGGAGACAGCAAAGTGCGCTCTAAAAATAACTCCCTTCTGGGACGGCAGGGTCCCTCCCTGTGCCCTCCACAGCAGAAATCTCCCAGGGGCACCGGGGTGAGGGGAGGGGGAGTGCGACCACCACAACCGGTCCCAGCCCTGAGTTTGAATCTCCCCAACTTTCCCTGTACTGGTCAGCTGCCAAAAAAAAAAAAAAAATAAGTCTCCCCAACTCAGCCCAGCCTCAGTTTCCCTCCCAGTCAGTCCCAAGGAGTAATAAGCATCCAAGCACAGGCTTCTGGGGTTAGACTGCCCTGGGTTTCAACTTCGACTTTGGTCCCACCCTCACTGTAGCTGGGTGGCAGCAGGCAAGTCACACGGCCTCTCTGGGCCTCTTTTTCCTGCTCTGGTTTACCCGCCTCCAGGTCAGTGCAAGGTTTTCCCAGGTCCTTGCGCTCAGCAAATGGTGAGGGCCTGCAACTGCTGTTTCACTGGGGTCAAGGCCTTTGGAGGCTGAGGAGAGGCTGGGGGGCACAGGAAGGTGGCTGGAGCAGGCTCAGAGACCAGGGGAGGGTGGCTTCTACATGTCTGGGAGGTTCCCAGCCACTGTCCCGTGTTCCTGGCAGGGAGCCAGCTATCCCCGCCAACCCGACTCAGCACTTGGTCTGGGGATCAGCTTGGTGGGGGGGCCTGGGCACAGCCCCTGGGGCAGCCCATACAAGGCCATGGGCCTGGGCGCAAGGCATGCCTGGGTTCAGGGTGGGCATAGTGCCCCAACAGTGAGGTGAGAGGCTCAGCTGCCCCCCAGCAGGCCCCTTCCCTGGGGACAGCGCCTCCCAGCCAATAGCACAGCTCTGGTCCCCCCTATATAAGGCCAGGGCTGCAGGCCCTTCCTTTGGGTCAGTGTCGCCTCCAGGATACAGACAGCCCCTTTCAGCACAGCCCGGCCAGGTACTCCCTGCGGTGGGAATCAGGGTGGGGTCTAGAGTGGGGGTCCTGTGGTGCCTGAAGCTGACTTGGCTCTGGAAAGGGCCTTATGTGTCTTGCCTCATTCTCCTGCACACAAGCCGGTCAGTGTGTGGGAAGTTTGACCTTGTGTGTCTGGAAGTCCCCTCTACCTGTCAGCCCACTTGATCCCTGTTCTGACTTGTGACAGGTTGTGGGTTGTGGGGAGGGATCCCGGAGACAGAAGGGGTCTTGACAGCTGACATCTGTCACCCCTGCAAGGGGTTGTCAGGCTAGGCCTGTGTTTATTACAGTTTGTCACCAGAACTGGGCGCCACAGGCGATGGGAGGTGTCTGCATGTCACCTGTCAGGGTCTGCAAGAGCAGGTGTTGTGGGCTCTTTGCATTTGCGATTGTGTGGGTCCCTGTTGTATCTCTGTCACCTCGTTTCTGACTTTCCATGGCTCCCACATGGGTGCCTCTATCTTGGTTTTGTCCCTGAGCTTGGAAGTGTGACTGTGTGACTCAGTTTACAGGGATCTAGGGAGTCCACAGTGATATGGATGTGTGGCTTTGGGGCTATTTCAGCTTGTATCTTTTGGGGGTCACCCACCTTGCCTCAGTGCCCTCTCCTGGGGTGTCCCTGGCAGGTATGGGGTGGGAACACCCTCTGAAGGGAGGGGGTTCTGGGCTGGAAGCCCAGGATGTCCTTGAGCCCCCAGTCCTGGATGCGTGTCCTCTCTGCCACCCTGGCTCACCTGTCTTGGGCCTGCTGACTTGGTGCAAGCTGAGCCCGGGAATGTGGGGGTGGGTGGGGCGGCAGCTGGGGTGGAGAGGCAGGAGTCTGCCAGATTCCAAAAATAGCCACCCTGGACAGCAGCTCCAAAGGTCTTTGGCGGGTCCCTATCCCTCTACCCCTCACCCTCAGCTCACCCTGGTCCCAATTTCCTTCCCACAATCCCACCTGCTTTCATCCCTGGAGCTGGGAGTGGGTGTCCCACCCCCCACCACCACTGCAGGGTCCCTGCTCCTTTCTGGATCTAGCGAATGAACATAATAACAATAGCAGCCACCGGGGTTCCAGGCCCCAACTCTATGCCAGGGCCTCTGCTCAGCTGGCCACACGCTGGAGCTCAAAAAATCCTCCTGGCAACCCCATGGGGAAGGCTCAATTCACAGGAGACAGAGATTCAGAGAGGCCTAGTGACTAGCCTGGGGTCACTCAGCAGGGAAATGGCGTAGGTGGGATGTGAACCTGGCTCTGTCGACCCCAGAGGCTGAGTTTTCTTCCCAACTGAGCCCTGGGGGAAGAGGTGGGGCAGCTACCCAGCCCTCCCTGCCACCCTGCCCCTCATCCTTTGAGCATCCAAGAACCTTCATGGAGAGAATGTCCCTTCTCTGCTGACATGCTCGCTCTCAGCAACACTCTCACCTCTACCTTCTCGCCAGCTCCTCACATGGACCCTTTTTTTTTTAAAAAAAAAAAAAGATGACCGGTAAGGGGATCTTAACCCTTGACTTGGTGTTGTCAGCACCACGCTGTCCCAAGTGAGCTAACCGGCCATCCCTATATGGGATCTGAACCCGTGGCCTTGGTGTTATCAGCACCGCACTCTCCCAAGTGAGCCATGGGCCAGCCCTATTGTTATTATTTTAAAGGTCCATGTGGGGCCGGCCCATGGCTCACTGGGTGAGCGTGGTGCTGACAACACCAAGTCAAGGGTTAAGATCCCCTTACCGGTCATCTTTAAAAAGAAAGAAAAAATATCAACAACAATACTTATTATAGTAATCACAGCTGGTGAAATAGGGCTTATGTGTGCCAGGCACTGCTGCAAGCGCTTTACCTGCATTAACTCATTCAACCTTCTTAACACTCCCTCAAGGTAAGTGTTGTTATGATCCGCACTTTACAGATGAGCAAACTGAGGCATAGAGAAGTTAAGCAACTTGCCCAAGGCCCACAGCTTGTTGTGAGTAGAAGAGCTGGGATTCAAACCCAGGCTATCTGATTCCAGAATTACACTCATCCATGCTCTAATACTTCTCTAGCCTGGGGATGGGGGTGTTACCCATTTCCCGGCTGGAGAAACTGAGTCTCTAGCAAGGTTACTAGTCCAGGCTCACTCAGCCAGGTTGTGGAAGAGCAGGGCCCTGACACAAGACTTCTGATGCTTCCTGTCAAGATGCAGGGGCTCCGAGAGGGGATCCCTCTTGCTCCAAGTCACATGGCCCGCCTGATCCCAGAGCCTTGCTCGGTTCCCGTGTTGCTTTCTGCTGTGCATGAGCTAACCTCCCGTCCTCGCCTGCCCACAGGCCCTCCAGCACCGCCACCATGCCGTTCGGCAACACTCACAACAAGTTCAAGCTGAACTACAAGGCTGACGAGGAATACCCAGACCTCAGCAAGCACAACAACCACATGGCCAAAGTGCTGACCGTTGACCTCTACAAGAAGCTGCGGGACAAGGAGACTCCATCTGGCTTCACCCTGGATGACGTCATCCAGACAGGTGTGGACAACCCAGGTAAGCCTCCCTGATGGAGCACCACAGGGACTTGGGGAGGCGGGGGCTCCAGAGGCTGCCTGCCGGACCCCGGTCCCACCCTTCCCGAGGGGACCTCAGTTTTCTCATCTGTAAAATGGGGACCAAACTCACAGGGCTGTCGTGAGAATGAATGAGTCAGTGTACGTTCAGGGCTTGGGATGGTGCCGGGCACATGGTCAACCACTCAGTAAATGTGCACAGTTAGAATATGAGACCCCTCGGGCCGGCCCGGTGGCGCACTGGATAGTGCGCTGCTTGGGAAGCGCGGTGGCGCTCCCGCCCGAGGGTTCGGATCCCACGTACAGACCGGTTCCCGCTCACTGGCTGAGCGAGGCGCAGGAGCAATGCCGAGGGTTGCGATCCCGTTGCCGGTCCCCGGTCTGGTACGGGGGCAACACTGAGGGTTGTGATCCGTTGCCGGACACGGAAAAAAAAAAAAAAAAAAAAAAAAAAAAAAAAAAAGAATATGAGACCCCCTCAAGGGTCATTTAATCTCCTTGAACCTCAATTTCCTCACCTGAAAAATGGGCACCCATGTTGTGAAACAGATGAGTCAATGCATAAACAGTGCTTAGGGCAGCGTCCGGCACAGCGCGCACACAGAACACGACAGGGCTGTCGTTAGTCTCGTGGCTCTTTCTCAAAGGACACCCAGCAGGCAGAGCGGAACCGGTAGGGGACGAGGTTCTGTCCTGCGTCAGCGCCCAGAGCTTCTGTGACTGAGGGGAGAGGCTCTGTCTCTGGGCCTCTGTCCTCCCATCTGGGAAGGAAGAGGGTCTTTCGAGTCTGTTATCATCCTAACTCTGTGGACGCTGACAGTCTGAGACTCTAAAAAATTGTAGGACACCATTTCTTTTCTTTTTGGGGGGGACATGATTTCTTGATTTTGGGACTCCAAGGTACTAACACTTTTAGCGCTTTGTAGCTGGCCCCCCCAGTCTCCCCTTTCTCCTTTGCGCCTGCTCCCAGCATCTTCCCTCACCCCAGCTGCCACCGCCCTCTCTCCCAGCCTCACCCCCCGTTCCTACCGACCCTCCCTTCGCGACCCTGCCCCGGAGGTCTCGAGTGTGTCCTGCACTCACACGCGCACACACAGTCTACAGCGGACCCACGAGCTCAGGTCTTCCGTGTTGGGACAAGCACCTCTGACCTCACCCCGCCCCCCCAGGCCACCCCTTCATCATGACCGTGGGCTGTGTGGCCGGCGATGAGGAGTCCTACGACGTTTTCAAGGACCTCTTCGACCCGGTCATCCAGGACCGGCACGGGGGCTACAAACCCAGCGACAAGCACAAGACCGACCTCAACCATGAGAACCTCAAGGTCGGTGGCCCACGGGAGGGGAGGGGGGGGTGACGAGAGAGACCAAAGGAGAGACAGGGAGAGAGGGGCAGAGAGAGAGGGACAGAGAGACACAGCGACAGAGGCGAGGAGAGGGGGTGAGGTGGAGAAAAGGGACAGGGACACAGAGAGAGGGCGGCAGAGGAGAGTCCGAGGTGGGCGGAGAGGGACGCAGACACAGGGAGGCAGGTGGGGGGACATGAAGAGAGCCAGAAGTGGGGGGACAAAGCTGGGGAAGGAGGGGTCTGGAGACGAGGGGATGGCGGAGGGACGGAGACAGGAGAGACGGAGCCACGGAGGCCAGAGGGAGGATGGAGAGGGCAAAGGCAGCCGCGGCCAAAGCCAGGGGGGCCTGGGGGCACCTGGGGGAGGCCTGGGCTGGCAGGGGCAGGGGTGGCTGGACCGGCCTGACCTCCCCGCGCCCTCCAGGGTGGGGACGACCTGGACCCCCACTACGTGCTCAGCAGCCGCGTGCGCACCGGCCGCAGCATCAAGGGCTACTCGCTGCCCCCGCACTGCTCCCGCGGCGAGCGCCGGGCCGTGGAGAAGCTCTCCGTGGCAGGTGAGAGCCCGCGCCCGCGGCTGCGGTCGCCCCCCACGGTTCTGCCTGCCTGGGCCCCCATTTTCCAAAACATGGGAGGAGCTTGGTGAGTGATCGGTGTCACATGACTCGTGCTGGAGGTCTGGGGCGGTGGTCAAGAGTGAGGGTCCCCGAGAAGAGCCGCGTGGACACGCAGCTGCGTCCTGACACCGTCCATTCATCCAGTCAGCAAACATTCCCGGCTGCTCTGGCCCTGTGTGGTGAGCCGGGGCTCCTGTGACGAGTAAGGTGGGCAAGGTCACTGCTCTCACAGAGCTCTCAGCCTTGTGGGGAGATGAGAGGGATCAGCGTAATCAACAAATAAACAAGATCATTCCAAGTGCCATGAAGCCAAGAAAGGGCGAGTGTGGCAGAGAATGACTGAGGGGAGCCACCTTAGAAGGCAGGAGTTGAGACCTGATTGACAAGAAGGAGCCTACCTTAGGGAGAATTCCGGGTAGGTGGGTCAGCAAGTGCAAAGGCCCTGAGGTGGGACTGCGTGTGGTGTTAGAGGAACAGCAAGGAGAACGGTGTGGCTGGAGCAGAGTGGGCAAGGGGGAAAGGCAGGCGTGAGGTCAGAGAGGCGTGGCTGGCCAGATGGTGCAGTCTCATGGGCTGTAGGGAGGGCTTTGGCTTTCACTCTGAGTGAGGCAGAAGCCACAGGAGGGTGGTGAGCAGAGGACGGACAGGTTCAGACATATGGATCTCTCTGGCTGCTGAGTGGGGAACAGACTGTGAAGGCAAAGGTGGGAACAGAGAGACCACGAGCAGGCAACCAAAACAGTCCCGGCAGGAACAGACCGCGAGATGGGGAGAAAGACTGGGTATGTTGTGGAGGTAGAACAACCAGAACTTGCAGACAGTGTTGTACTGATAAATATTTAACAAGCAGAACTCAGAAAAAACGAAAGCCCTGATTTGCAGTGCCTGCCAATTTCTGTGGTGTAAATTTTCCTGCCATGGCCAATTTTAAGCTATCAGTGTGGTGTTATACAGAGATGGGAGGAGATGCACAGTGGCACATTATATAGTACAGTTGTCCCTTGGTGTCGGGGGGGGGGATTAGGTCCAGGACCCCCTTTGGTAACCAAAATCCTCCAGTGCTCAAGTCCCTGATATAAGATGGTGTAGTACTGTGTAGCCTGTGCACATCCTCTCCTATACTTTTAATCATCTCTAGATCACTTACACTACCTAGTACAATGTAAATGCTGTGTAAATAGTTGTTATACTGTATTGCTTCTAAAATTGTAATATTTTATTGTATTGTTATTTTTACTGTTGTGTTTTGTTTGTCTAATATATTCTATTTGCAGTTGGTTGAATCTGTGGATGTGGAACCTGCAGATATGGAGGGCCAACTGTATAAATAAATACTAAAATTGTAATATTTTATTGTATTGTTATTTTTACTGTTGTGTTTTGTTTGTCTAATATATTCTGTTTGTAGTTGGTTGAATCTGTGGATGTGGAACCTGCAGATATGGAGGGCCAACTGTATAAATAAATATATAAATATTATATAAGTATATATTTATCATAATATGTACAAATATATTAATTATACGCATAACATATTTTTATGCATATGAATATATACAAATAATATACATACTATTTTATAATTATTTTTACTAATGGCTTTCCAAATTCCTGAGCCTTTGGCCATCTGTCTTGCCGCAGTGGGAACAGGCACTGTCACACTAAATTGCAGGTGGACTGGATGTGAGGTCCCTCAGTGGAAGGCCCTTTCTGGCTTGAGTACATGGTATGGCTATTCCTGGGGGCCTGGACAGACAGAGGCAGGACAGATTTTGGCGAGAGATCATAAATTTGGGCTTAGATACAGTGTTTAGATGTCTTTAGGCCATCCATAGGGCCAAGACCCACCAGCTCTGTTGTGGCAGCAGTGCGAGGTCCCTGGGCCTCCACCCCCTGGCTGCAGGGGAACAGGCTGCTGACCACTCCCTCATCTGGCCCCTCAGCCCTCAACAGCCTGACGGGTGAGTTCAAGGGGAAATACTACCCTCTGAAGAGCATGACGGAGAAGGAGCAGCAGCAGCTCATCGATGACCACTTTCTGTTTGACAAGCCCGTGTCCCCGCTGCTGCTGGCCTCAGGCATGGCCCGTGACTGGCCTGACGCCCGTGGCATCTGGTGAGGCCCCTCCCGCCTCTTCGTTTCTCCTCCTCCCAGGCTTCTCCAGCCTCCCTGACCTTCCTCACTCCACCACCAAAGTCAAGGCCATAAAAATAATTAAGGTCTCCCACGTACCACAGAAAATGATCTTGCCCTCCACCCCTGCCTGTCCTGTGGTCTGTGTGTCATATTTTGGGAAACTTGGACCAGAGAAGTTGGTAGTTAAGAACTTAGACTTGAACTGGACTCCCTGGATTCAAATCCCAGTTATACTATTTACTGGCTGTGTGAGTGACCTTGGGCAAATTACTAAATTTTTCTGTCTCCAGTTTCCTCATCTATACAATGGGGATCACAATAATTCATAGCTCTTGGAGTTCTTGTGAGGGTTAAAAGAATTAATTTATATAAAGTATTTAAAGCAGTGCCTGGTATATAGTAAATGCTTAACACATCTTGCCTGTTAGCATTATCTTTATTACTATTATGTATTGCTAGTTAGACTTTCTATGAATCTTTGCTTTTATTTAATTTTATTTATTTATTTTGACGCCTGGCTGGTGTGGGGAGATTTTCTATGAATCTTTGAATTCCTGATTCTGATTTTAAAAGTCAACGTTTTAAAAAGGTTTAGGGAACCTAGGTTTCAAACGATTATGGGGGTCTGGGTTCTAAGATTTACAGATTGGATGATTCTAAGATTTCAAGAGTTTAAATATTTTTAGGTTTTTAGATTCCACTAATTCCAAATTCTGTGATTCTGTGATTTCTTTCTTTCTTTCTTTTTTTTTAAAAAGATGACCGGTAAGGGGATCTTAACCCTTGACTTGGTGTTGTCTGCACCACGCTCACCCAGTGAGCAAACCGGCCATCCCTATATGGGATCCGAACCCGTGGCCTTGGTGTTATCAGCACCGCACTCTCCCGAGTGAGCCACGGGCCGGCCTCAAGAGTCTATAATTTAATGCTGTTCAAAGTCCTTGATCCCGGGACTGGAGGTTTTGCAGGTCCTGTGAGGTCAGTCTCCAGGCTTAACCTTCCGCGTTTTGAGGAAGCGGGTGCCACCCGCCTCGTGCCCCTCAGGCCCGCTCCCGCTACGGGGGGCACGTTCGGCAGACGGCAGGGAACGGGGTTCCCGCGAGCTGACTCCTTAACCTTCGGCTGCGCCTCACCCCAGGCACAACGACAACAAGAGCTTCCTAGTGTGGGTGAACGAGGAGGACCACCTCCGGGTCATCTCCATGGAGAAAGGGGGCAACATGAAGGAGGTCTTCCGCCGCTTCTGCGTGGGGCTACAGAAGGTGGGTGCCCGCCCCTCGCGCCTGACTTCCGGCTCCACCCTGAACGCCCCACCCCCTCCCCAAGGCCCCGCCCCGGACCGGCCCCACCCACGCCCAAGCCCCGCCCTCGGGGCCCCGCCCCCACCCACGTGCTCACGCGCGGTCTCTTCTCGTCCGCGTTGCGGGTGTATTCGGGAGTGCCCGCTGGCGCTAACCCTTGGTCTTCTCCCCCCGCCTCAGATCGAGGAGATCTTTAAGAAAGCCGGCCACCCCTTCATGTGGAACGAGCACCTGGGCTACGTGCTCACCTGCCCATCCAACCTGGGCACCGGGTTGCGGGGAGGCGTGCATGTGAAGCTGGCGCATCTGAGCAAACACCCCAAGTTCGAGGAGATCCTCACCCGCCTGCGCCTGCAGAAGCGGGGCACAGGTGCGGCCCCCGCATCCCCCGCACCGCGACAGCTGGCGCGGGCCCTTTGCGGTGGTGCAGGGTTTGCAGTGGTGCAGGGGGAAGTGGGGCATCCCCGCGACTTTTGGGAGTCGGCGAGGGATGTTCCTCTGTGAGGCTCAGTTTCTTCTTCTGTAAAATGGGCGTCAGCATGCCTATCTCATAAGAGTATATCATCATGATTATATAACATGCATAGCATATGCCCCCGGACCTCGGTTTCCCCATCTGTAAAGGGGGTGGTGGTCAGGATTCGACGCCAGGCAGCTCGGCTCCAGAGCCCACTCTCTTAGCATTTTCATGTTGGATGGTTGGGGGGCGAGGTACCGTAACTAAAGCCAAAGACGTGGGTCCTTGAATAGACAGACATTCATGAGGTTCTGTGTGCAGGTGACCTGTTACACAGTAAGGCACTCGATACATGTGGCTGTGGCAGTTGGCACAGGGCCACAGCCCGGCCCCTCTGCACTTCTCCCTTCTCACACCCCTGTCCCCTTCTCCTGAAGGTGGTGTGGACACGGCTGCTGTGGGCTCCGTGTTCGACGTGTCCAACGCCGATCGGCTGGGCTCATCCGAGGTAGAACAGGTGCAGCTGGTGGTAGACGGTGTGAAGCTCATGGTGGAGATGGAGAAGAAGCTGGAAAAGGGCCAGTCCATCGACGACATGATCCCTGCCCAGAAATAGGCGCCCAGCCCGCCCGCCACCGACTGCTGGAGCCCCAGCACCTGGGAGGACCTGGCCCACCGGAGGCCCGCCCCTTCGTCCCTTGCTCCGCCCCTTTCTCCCGGACACCCGCCTATAATGGCTCGGTCACCTGGGGGCTCTACCAGCCTTCTCGGAGTTCCAACCAATGGGCTCCATCCTCTGGGTTCTGGCCAATGAAACCCCCCCTCACACGCTCCTCTCCTTTTCCCAGAGCTCCGCCCCCCAACCAGAGCCCTGGCAAACCGGGAGCTCCCCAGCACATCTGGAGCTCGTGCCTTTTCTCCACTCAGAGTGATAAATAAAAGCAATGGTGGCCTTAGCTTTGTATGTGATAGTTATTGAGGGAGATGGAGGAGAGACTTGGAGTTGACTATGTGGCCTGGAAGTGGTTTGTCCTCTCTAGGCATGAACTAAGCATGTTTTGTCCCATCTCTAAAACAAGGCAAAGTGAGGGTACAGAGTCTAATCCAGAAGTTATAAAGCTTCATGGAGAATCTGAAACCGGGAGAGTGGTGGCACAGTGACACATAGCCAAGTATGAACCCTTCCAATCCTGGCTCTGAATCAGTCATGCTCAGATCTCAAGCACAGGGTCAACACTGGGGAGAAATGCAGGCCAAACAAAATGTCTGAATCGGGCCCATGGGCCCCCAGTTTGAGACTCACATGCCTCATCACATTTACCTCCACTATGTTTCTCAGCGGCCTCCTCCCGCCCGGTCTGACCTCACCCCTCCATAGCTGCTACCAGTCTTTTCAACTTCCCTTTTGAGCATTGCTCAAGAACCTGCCACGGCTCCCCGCATCTCCTAGAATGCACTGCTATTATTTGCGATTCTTCAAGGTCCCACTAAAATGAACATTATTTGCTGAAGGCTCATCTTTCCAGTTCTTTTCCCACTATTCCTCTGATTACACTCTCTCGCTCCTCACATCCTGTAATTCCCACCTCAATATCTTTGCCTAAGCTGTTTCCTCCTCCAGAATGCGGCGTGGGTCAGAATGTTCCCATGAAGTCTTTAGGGATCAGCCTTTTGGAGAGCTTGGTCCCAGGAAGGAGCAGGAAGTGGGCATGGCAGAGCAACTGGGGGAGTGAGAGGAGCAGGTAATAGAAATCAAGAAATATTTAAACATGTGTTGGGTGTTGGGCATGTCAAGCACCTCCACTCAGCCAAACAAGACAGTCTCCATCAGCAAGGACATAGCAGGTGGGCCCCAAAAGAGAAAGGTTTCAGAAGGAAATATGAGGCAGAGTAAACAGAAGACAAGACAGAACCCTCAGAAACCCGGAAGAGGCACTTTTTCAAACCTTAAGAGTCACATAGGGGGGCGGCCCATGGCTCACTTGGAAGAATGTGGTGCTGATAACACCAAGGCCACGGGTTCGGATCCCTATATAGGGATGTCGGTTTGCTCACTGGGTGAGCGTGGTGCTGACAACACCAAGTCAAGGGTTAAGATCCCCTTACCGGTCATCTTTAAAAAAAAAAAAGAGTCACATAGGTTAAGGGCCCTTCGAGATCAAGAAATCCACTCTGTTTTACAAAGAGAAAACAGGCCCAGGGATGTCTCCCAAAGTTCCCTGAAATAAGAAGGTTAGTAGAAACCCCAAATATCAAGTCATGAAGGACCTGGCAGTTGCTGGGACGTCCTTTACAAAATTGTCCCCAAGTGAAGATCCTATCACAAATCCCAGCTCCAGCCCCAGAAGCCACACAGACCACAAACACTCCAGTGGGGACAGCCAGAGCCAGCCAAACCTACAGTCCAGGCACTTGTCAATTGCCATGTCCCGCCCATTTTGCCTAATAAGCTTCTCAAATCCACCCCTTCTCTCCCCACCTGTCCTGCCTGACCTCTTTCCTATTCTTCTGACTTGTCTTCTTCCCCTCTTCCTCCCAACCATCCTACACACAGGACAAATCTGCTACTGCCTCCCCCCTGCTCATAAGCTCACCACGGCTCTCCAGTGCTCTTGGGAGAAAGCCAAGGCCTCTCTCCACAACCTCTCTAGCCTTGTCTCTCACAGCGACTCTCTACTCACCCTTAATCACATGCCATTTGCTATTTGCACTCTCACTTCCCAGCCATTGTGCATGCCATTTCCTCTGCCTAGAACATACTCCCCCCAACCCCATGTCTAGTTGGCTGCTCCTCATCCAGGAAACCCTCCCTGGCTGGAGTAGACGCCCTCTGGACTCCACTGTACCAGACTCACCCAATCTGGATGGTCACTGAGGACACGTTACCTCTTCCACTGAACTGTGAGCTCCATGAGTGCAGGGCTCGGGCTGTCTTGGTCACCACTATGTCCTCAGTACAGAGGATGCTCTCAGGGACTAAGCCTCTTCTCTGCACACAAACCTCCATGGCTCCCCAGTGCTTCAGGAAGAAGCCCAGCTTGCTCATTTCAGCCCCAGAGGCCCTGTGTGAACAAGCTCTGCCCTCTGTACTGCACAGCCTTCAACTTCTTATGTCTGTTGAGCTCCCATGTCCTTTCTCCTGCTTGTGACCCCTGACTTTCCTTTGGGAATCCCCTTTAAAACAAGCACAGGTATGGGCCTGGCCACTCTAGTCACAGTGATTGGTTCAGGGATAATCGCATGACTTATCTGGGCCAATGAGAGCCTGCCTCAGGACTTTTACTGGAAGGAGGCAATGAGGATCTTTCTGCTGCAGAAACTAAGCTGGGGGGACAGATGATAACAACTCCTGGGCTCATCTTTGCCATCAGCAAGAAAGTACCTACTGGATGAAACTTCTAGAATTAAACTTACACTGAAAAAAGCAAAGACGGGTTTGCCTGATGCCTGGATCCAACCATACCTGAAATCAGGAAGCCCTGAGCTATTACATAACAAGCCAACAAAAACCTTTTTGCTTAAGCGGTATAGATGGATGTCCTAATACAGCATTTATTTTGCCAATTCTCCACCCACTCCCAACATAGCAGCCACTCTAAAATTACCTACAGTTCTCTGAAGATACACCATGGACTCCCACTTCTGGGCTTTTGCCCAGTGCCTAGTCAACTCCTACTCATCCTTCAAAGCCCAACTCCAGCATCCCTTCCTCTGGAGTGTATTCCCCATCCCCCCTCACTTATTCTTCTGGGCTCCCCAAGACAATGGTTTCTCCAGTGTGTGTCAGAACCTGTGTCCCCTGCAGACGGGGGCTCCTTGTGTCTCTGTGTCCAGCACTGGGCCTGACATGGAGTAGGCACTGATCAATGACTATTTATTGAACAAATGTACTACTGGAGTAAGAAGTGGCTTAGAGTCCAGTGTAACATGGCAGGCAGGAGTGTGGGTGGATGAATGGGGGGCCCAGTAGAGGACTTGGGGCCTCATGGATGAGGCCGAGTTCTGTCCTCCCCACTTCTACAATCATCCTTGACCCTCATACCCCCACTATTCCCATTCTGCAGATGACAAAACCGAGGCTCAGAAAGGAGAAACCACTGGCTCAACATCACACACCTCCTCTTCAGCTCACTTGCAGGTGAGGGTAGGGAAGGAAAACCCCAGGGTCAGTGAGGGGGGACTCTCCTAAGTTTATTGGGCAACAGGCTGCAGGTGAGGGGGCTGAAGGAGGAGGGTGGGAGTGTAATAACTTAAAAACTGGAGGTGAGAGCGGCAGCTCCTCGAGAGACCTCTGCAGAAGGGAGAGTGAGGGGGTTATTTACAAGGATTTGTACAAAGTGCCCCGCGCCAGCCTGGGGCAGGAAGGGGGTTTTGAGCATGAGGGGAGAGGGAGGAGAAGGAATCTACCTCTCTGATCCCCGCTCCCAGCACCCCCAAATTCTCCAGTCTTTAGGCTCAGCAGCTCTCCCTGCCCTTACCCAAGGTCTAACTCAACCTGTTGGGAGGAATGGAAGAGTTTTCCCAGTTTCTCCTCCTGCCCCTGCCCTGACCCCAAAGTCTCTTCAGGTGCCCTATGGCAGGGCAAAGGGGAACAGGACCCGTTGGAGGCTCCGGGAAGGCGCCAGCTCCCCCTGCTAAGCCCCCTCATCCTTCTCCTGTACTGAGCGGCCCCGGAGAACAGCAGAAGGGACAATCTCTGCCCCCAAATCTAATTCAGGGAAACTGAGGTGATGACAAAGGGTGGATCCCCTCCTTGCCCCTTCTTCTATAGAAGCGAAGAGGACAACAGAGAGGAAGAGGAAGGGATCGGGGGCCGTGGTGGCTCAGAGCTCAAGGTCGTTGGAGATGCGGGTGACGAGGGTGCGGAAGGCCAGGGCGGTGCCCGCCACACGGCGGAAGAGAACTCCCCGCAGGCCCGGCCGGGGCAGCTGGCAGACCTCCACTTCGAAGTGGGACAGGGGCTCGGGCCCGCCCGCACCCCCGTGCAGGCAGGCCAGCAGGAATGGCTGTGGCTGGCGGCAGCGGCAGCGGGCGGCTGCTGTGGCCTGGCGCAGAGCTGCCATCAGGGCCTCGGGAGGGCGTGAGCTGGTCAGCTTCACACTCCAGGGGAATCGGAGCAGCCGGGGGGCGGTTTCCGTTTGATCCCAAGGTAGATGGCAACTGAGGTGGGAAGATATTAGAGATCAATGATGGGAGAGAAGGCGGTGGGTGGAGGAGCAAGGGGAAAACTCTTCCTGACCTCTCAAAACCATCCTCCCGTTTACCCCAGTGACAGTTTTGGCTGGACAGACAGCTGCCCAGCCAGAAGCCACATTTCCCAGCCTCCCCTGCAGCCAGGCATGGCCCCGTCTCTAACTTTCAGGGTGCGGCAGAAGTGAGGTGTGCAACTCCACACCACCCTTTCCAAGGGAGTGGCAGGGCCAGGCTCTCACGCCTCACCTCCCGTGAGCTGGATTCAGCAGGAGCAGAGCCAGCTTCAACTGGGAAGATGACAGCAGGGCTCTAACGGATGGGGATGGAAGAACCCGGGTCCCTGAATGACCTCTTGAAATAGAGTGGCCCTTCCAGCCTGGCTTGGCCACATGGTTTGTGTGAGAGAAAAATTTATTCCTATCTGTATTTTGGGACCTCTTTGTTGTAGCTGCTGAGCTTGTGTCGGAAGTAATACTTCCTTCTGTAATGACGCCACTTTTCCCTTCGGGGATCAACCTTCTTCACTCTAGACCGTGGATTCTTACCTAGAAGCATGTCTGTACAAAGGGGTATTTGAAAATTTCTGGGGGCTTTTTGATTGTCACAACGTCTTGGGATGGGAGCTCAGCTGGTGTTTATTAGATTGTGGGGGTGGGATAGGGATGATAAATGTTCTGCAGTGTGTGAGAGGGTCCTGCACAACAAAGAAATGTCCCACCTAGAGCATCAAGAGTGCCCCTCTTTTCTTTTTTGGGGGGGATGGCTGGTACAGAGACTGTACTGGATCTTGGTGTTATCAGCTCTAACCAACTGAGCTAACGGGCCAGCCCCAAGAGTGTCCCTCTTGAGAAGCTTGCAGATCTAGCTTCTCTGGTTTAGGTGGGGCTGACCCACCCCCTCAGCTCCAAGGGTGAGCACAACTCGGTTCTGGTCAATGAGAGGATTCCACCTCCTCCGCCACTGTGATTGGGTCAAGGATGAGCATATGATCAGGTCTGACCAATCAGAGTACTCCACCTCTCTGCCCACAGGCATTGGTTTAGGGATGGGCATGTGACCCAGTCCCGGCCAATTACAGTCAGTCCTGGGACTTCCCTGGATATACTGGGAAGGCTCTTGTTTCTACGAGGGTCTCTGAACTGGTATGTCAAACTAAAGCAAGGCTTGGCAAACTACAAGTGCCTGTTTTTGTAGATAAATGTTATTGGAAGACAGAAATAACCGTTTGTTTTTGTATTGAATATGGCTGCTTTTGCACTACAATGGCAGAACCGAAAAGGTGTGACAGAGACTGGCCCTCAAAGACTAAAATGTTTACTATCTAGGCCTGTACAGATAATGCATGCCACCCACTGGCCCAGAGCTGCTGGCAACCATTCTGCCATTATTGGATGACAGGAAAAAACCAGGGGAAGGGCAATGATAGGAAGAGGAGTTGGGTTGTAGAAGGCACAAGGCTGAAGTTAAAGATGGTCACGGGAAGGTGCTCAGGGATGGGGTGGAAATAAAAGAAATCAGTGCAGGGGTAAGAGGTGCTGGCAGAGGAGGGAGAGGTCATTTGAGGAAGTTGGCTTTGGAAGATGAGACTCAGGCCCCATCTAAGGCCGGGGGTGAGTAAGGGAGGTGTTAAGGCAAGTGGGATCTGAGGCAGGGGAAGGGAAGGGGCTGGTGTGGCAGTCAGAGGTAGGCCCATGCACTCACCTTGTGACCTCAGGTCCCCCGATTCTCTCAGGTTCGTCTGTGACCCTAGGGGAGGAGACGGGGACAGTGTCTAATCTGGACATAGGGAGCCCTCCTCCCCCAACCCGCCGCCTCTGGGACTCTGGGCAGCCCCTGCCTCAGCCCCAGTCCTTCCCTGATGGCTGGAGCTGGGCTGGGGAGGACCCGGAGTCAGGATTTGACGTCCCTCTGTTCCCCAGAAGGGGGCTCATTCTGAAATGGTTAGTGAAGGTCATAGGAAAGATACTAAAGAAACTGGAAGACGTGAGACAGGGGGATGGGCAGAGATACACACCTATATACAGAAGGGACAGCAGAGACACGCACACTCACACACACACACACTCACACACACACACACTCAGAGATACACACCTATATACAGAAGGGACAGCAGAGACACGCACACACACACACATACACACACTCAGAGATACACACCTATATACAGAAGGGACAGCAGAGACACGCACACTCTCTCTCACACACACACACTCACACATACACACACACACAGTCAGAGATACACACCTATATACAGAAAGGACAGCAGAGACACGCACACTCTCACACACTCACACACACACACACACACACACAGTAAGAGATACACACCTATATACAGAAGGGACAGCAGAGACACGCACACTCACACACACACACACACACACACACACACACAGTAAGAGATACACACCTATATACAGAAGGGACAGCAGAGACACGCACACTCACACACACACACACACTCAGAGATACAGAAGGAACAGCAGAGACACGCACACGCACACACACACACACATACACTCAGAGATACACACCTATATACAGAAGGAACAGCAGAGACACGCACACACACACACTCACACACACACACACATACACACACACACATACACATACACTCAGATACACACCTATATACAGAAGGGACAGCAGAGACACACACTCTCACACACACACTCACACACACACACACTCAGAGATACACACCTATATATAGAAGGGACAGCAGAGACACACACACTCTCACACACACACACATACACACCTATATACAGAAGGGACAGCAGAGACACACACACTCTCACACACATACTCACACACACACACACTCAGAGATACACACCTATATATAGAAGGGACAGCAGAGACACACACACTCTCACACACATACTCACACACACACACACTCAGAGATACACACCTATATACAGAAGGAACAGCAGAGACATGCACACGCACACGCACACACTCACACACACACATACACACACACACTCAGAGATACACACCTATATACAGAAGGAACAGCAGAGACATGCACACGCACACGCACACACTCACACACACACATACACACACACTCAGAGATACACACCTATATACAGAAGGGA